ATATAAACAAACGGTAAATAAAAATTTGCCATCTTGACAAAAAGTTTCAGCAAGAAATCCTGCTTCTCAAATTTGTATAATTTTATTCAAAACTTTCGAATTCATCCTTTAAAGCTTTTTTTTTAGACTTTATTTTTGACCAAATATTAACATTAATATGTGTATATGTTCATAGCTTATCAACATATTTTTTCTGTATAATTCTCTAACAGCTCTATTTATTAAATCCGGATCTAAATGAATAAATCTGGATGCAAGTTTAATCAATTGACAAATATCAATACATTTGAAATAGATTTATATTTTAATTGAGTACCATTTTATAAATACAAGTCATTTTAAGTTCCTGGTTTAAGTGCCAATACATTTAATAATATACAGACTGTGAAATGATAAAAAAACTATAAATTTGTTTCACTAATATTTCAATAGTATTTTAGAAGTATTTCAGAATATTTCAGAAATATTTATGCAAAATTACAATAATTTACATTATGAGTACACAGGTTAATAAAGGCATCGAATCATATGAAATAGATTTTGTAAACATAAATATGGATATAAAACAGAATTAGATAGAAATATTAAAGATGAGCTAACATAAATGTTTATATTCGTATAGATAGATATATTTAATATTGTTATAAAATTTACAAAGGAAATGATATCAAATTTTACAATGATAATTTGGTCATTTTTCTCATTAATCCTTTTTTCATCATCCTTTTTTTCATTATCCTTTTTCTCATCATCCTTTTTCTCATCATCCTTTTTCTCATCATCTTTAGGATTAATAACTTTAGTATCAACCTCTGGATCTTTTTCTTCACCTTTTTCATCATCTTTTTTATCTTTCTTTTTGGGAATTCACCTGGAAGTCCTTCCAATTTAATTCCTGCGCATTTACTATAAACTCTTAATCCCAATTGCAATTCCCGTTCATCTTTCTTTTCCTTATCATCCTTTGTCTCATCATCATTATCATTAACAGCTTTTTCTTTACGTTTTTTAGCTTCAATTTCAGAATCTTTTTCTTGCTTTGGTTCTTGATTTTCCTCAGTTCGATCAATAGTTTCACGGTCTACATGTGGAATAATTACATAGTCACCAGCTGGAAGTTTAACTTCATGGTTTATGCTACGAGAAGCGAAAGCAAATGTCGAACGACTACGGGCTAAGTAAGAAGAAGTTTCACTGTCTTTGAATACACGAAAACTTAATAACTTTTTTTTAAAATGAGAAATATTATTATTAAGATGAACAAGTAATAACGATAAGAAATTAATAATGTAGAGAAAATACATACTCATATTTAGGTTCATTACAAAAATATCTATTATTAGGCTGTTGAAGAACTATAATCAGATGATATTCTTCTGGTAAACTTAGTTTAAACTTTCCTTTAGACCTTGACACAACATTATAATTAATCCAAGTCATGTAAACAGTCCAACTTGAATCAAATAATCTACATTTATCAATCATATCCCAATAATTAAGGAAATCGTCATAACACACCCAGAAAGTACCATCATCACCGAATCTGTGGTTTAGTTGAATCATACTTTCAGGAATCCATTCTTTACTCCCATCACTCCAAGCGTCTTTTTTTTAAATAAATAAATATAATTAGGAAATGTAATTAGGAAATATTTTTATAGTAAATATTATTATGAAAGATGAAAGTTTATATAAACCAACTTTTAATTGAATCAACATACCAGTCATTCAGCTGTTCCCAAGGATTTCTTATTTGTAAAAGTTTAATACCATCATCAGTCTCAGCAGCAAGCAAAATGCTATAAGCATGACCGCTAACAGATCCTTTTAAATCTTTAATATCTTTATCACTAAATTCAAATCTGGCATATCCTAATAATAAGTTATTATTAACATTTTTAATACATCGTTCTAAAATTTTCTTTATCCAAGATGTCGGCGGTGAATTGCAGTGTGTAGACACCATAAGTTATATCTCCTAACCCTATTTAAAGAAATAAAATAATAAAGAAATCAGGAGCGGTATTTAATTAAAATATGATGTATAATTCTTAAATATAGTTATGAAAATTAAGCTTTAAATGTGTCTAATGAAGTAATACTGAAAAATAGAATAAAACAAAGTGCAAGGTTTCGCTAATAATAAATCACTTGCATTGCATTAATTTATTGAATTGATCATTAATCATACTTGGACGATGTAATTTAGCCAATCATATCAATGTTTTCCTATAATATTTGGCACAGGCTGGCATGTGATAAAAACATTGTGGTACTGGCACCGGCACTAGCAAAAGCTCAGGGATAATAAAAAAAATTGAAAACACTTAGACACTTGTATTTCCGCCCAGCATAGTGCCAACAGTGCCTGACAAAATGCCAATTGTGCCAAGCATGTTCACTTGAAGAACACTAATCTAAACTTTATTACAGAATTCTTTCATCAGACATATAAACGAGTTAACTTATCGAATCGGAATTTATCAAATTTTTATTCCTTGAAAAAGGTGAAGAAAAAGATCCAGAGGTTGATACTAAAGTTATTAATCCTAAAGATGATGAGAAAAAGGATGATG